ACCCAACTCATAAACTTTTCCCATGCTGGTTCCATCATCTTTCAGGGCCGCAACGATTGCAGAAGCAACATCATTAACATATACAGGCTGGATTCTGTAAAGAAACTATTGTTAGCAAAAGATGCTCAAAGCTTCCAGAAGAAACGGAACCAACATAAATGAATTAAAAGGTTCAGGTTATAATCCAAATTTACTTGGCAGATCCATCGCCGATGAGTGGAAGAAAACTATACTTCTTTGCAAAGCGCGCCCACCGATTCAAAATCCGATCCTCAGTACCAATCATTACAGCAGGTCTCATAACAGTAGCCTGTCAAAGGAATAATATGATGAAATTGTTGATGTTGGAACCATAGATAACATAAAAAATGTGGAAGCCTATGGAAGGCCAACCTTTAATGAGCTAAGCAAACCTTTTCAACCCGGTTCAGCCCTTTCACTATTCTCACCTTCCCTAAACTTATCCAGGGAAGAAGTGCTTTTATAATTTTATTATGCACTTAGGTTATGCGCTATTCAGATTCTTGTTATGATTGCACTACATGAGTTATGTACTATTCTCACGATTTACTAGATTTGAAATCAAATGTTCATACCAAGTCCAAAACTAAGTTTCCATAATGTGAAATTCAACAAACTTGTGCAATAATAAATGCACAACATTTTCCACGTCGTGTCTTTGCCTAAATAGCTATCAGCTAAGAAGTATCAAAAGTTTGGCATTACATATTGGTAAGAGTGAAAATAACAATTTACTCCAAACAAAGCTTATAGCAAATGAATGAACTTAAAATCTACTTTTGCTTAGGATGACAGGAAAACTTTTAGTAAACAATAGCATGGCATTAAAACAAAATATAGAACCAGCTTCTGAAATGAGCAAAGATGTTGAAAATCACATTTATAATCTAAAGGAACAGGAGTCAAGTCATCGACTCCATATTTCCACCTCTATTCTGACATCGAGCGCTTGAAACACAACTGTGATCTAAAGTTCTCAAATGTACAAGCAATAATACTACAAACAATGTTACTCGGATTCAGGTGCATGTATCTGACACGGGTATGACTAGATTTTTCCAAGTTTTTCCATATGTTTGGAGGGTCCTTAGAGGTCATATTCCTATATCCGAGTGTAGGAAACAGGTATTTCATGAAAAATGAAGAGTCTGAACAGCATAGACTGCAAATATGATATTGTTGCCCAAATAAGCAGCATACGTATGCACCTTAAAACAACCACAATAAAGTCCAGAGCCGCAAAACACATTTAGCACATCATGTCCCGTGGGAACACAATAGTGAATAACTTACTTAGTGAAGCCCCAGAAGAGAGAAGAGAAGAGCAACCTTGGCAAAAACAGAGAGACTTAAACACTGCTATAAAACTGTCAAAATTAATTCTCATTTCACAAAAAACAGCCCATGTTTTTTTTGGGTGCAAGATCTTAGGAATGGCTATCCATGCACTTAAAAGATAAATAAAAAAAACCATTTTTTTATCTCCTTCCAACCTAACTTTCTTTATATGCAACAATTTCTTTATCTCCCATTTTTTCATATAGTGTATATTCTATTAGATACCACTGTTTCATCATTATTGATACACATGCTTACATAGTTACTTTGCTTGATATTATAACAAATTCACTGCATCATCATTGCCATCTCACATTGTAGAAACTAAAGATTAAGTACCTCAGGAAGTTCTTTCAAAATAGCTTCTTCTCCAGCAGCCTTAGCTCTTAGAAATCTTGATGAAGATGACAGAGAAGACCCTAAGCAAGAAACTTGAATAAATCTCATGATACCACCGTGTTCTTTGGCAATCTGAAATCAAGGAAAAATTAATACATTAAGTGCTTAAAACTCTAAAAATTAAGCTTAGTTAAATGTAGAACATGGTTGATAGCACAAGAGGTCACAATCCACAAACTATAAACTGTTCATGTTAAAAACTCGATAAGAATAACAGCATAAATGACAGAAAAATAAATGCAATTAAACAACTAGCTTTTACATTCAAATTTAAAGATATGTATTATAGAGGCTCAAGAAGCATGCACACTTCAGCTCCCCTTTCCTAAAAGGTTGTACATGATACATTTTCTTCTACTCCAACCCCCACACCTTCGTCCAAAAAAGGATTGAGGATAGCATTTAAGCCATACGCAATAATATATTTAAAATCTTACTAATAACACTGCCAAGAGATTAATGGTGCTATTTCAGTGTGAATGAAAGTTTCAACATACCACTGCCAGTTGTTCTGCCATGAAATGGTTCACTTCCTCAAAGCTATAGTTTCTTGTCTCATACTCTCTTCCTGCCAATATAAGCATACCAATCATACAAATCCAAGATTTAAATTTTTTCTGGTAGAATCAGAAGAGAGACAATGTATACCAATGAGATTGATGACAACATTAGCCTTTGCCATCACAGCCTTGATTGAATTTTCATCCCTTGGATCGTATTTCATTGGAACAATCTGAGCATGAGAAATGTTAAATTAAAATCATAATAGAACCGCACAATATGCAGTTGAATATGAATTTCAATAGAAAAAGAAAGGCAAATTCACATGGTACCTGTCCCAAATCTCCCATCAATTTGAGATGACGAGGGTCATCCTCGGAACCTCGGAACGGAACTAACACCTGAGATCCCATTTTCGCTAAAGACAAAAAGAAAAAAGAATCAGTATACATATTGCGAATAAACCTTCAAGTGGGATTCAAAAGGAAAAACAAAAAACAAAAGAAGCACTCAGTAATAGTAATTAAAACACCAAGTTTAAATTACCAAGCTGTTGCACAAGATAACGGCCAAGGAATCCAGTAGCTCCAAAAACAGTAGATATAATGCCACTGCAAGAGAAGGCAAAATCATTTCCGGCCCAAACAGAAAACTATCAACAACAAAAAAAGTTCAAATCCCAAGAAATGACCTGACTGAGGACCGGCCACCGGTGCCCTTGCGGACGAGGTGACCCACGCCCTTGTGGGAAGCCAGCGTTGATCCGTATCGCGGATGGTCTCCTCCATAATCTGAAAAAAAAATCGATGACAAAAAGATTAAAACCCCCCATCAATTTGATGTACTACAAAACAGCCGAAGAAGAAGAAAATCGAGAAATTAAAAAGAGGGAATGAAAATGTTACAGTGATCGGAAAGAGGGTAAATGAACTTGATAGAAGAAATTGAAGGTGTTGGCCTCAGAGAGTGCTGCCCCAATCGTCTCGTGATCGCCTGCATCTTTTCTCAGCTTAGCTTCTCACTTCAGAGAGAGAGAGAGAGAGAGAGAGAGAGAGAGAGAGAGGTTGTTGTTTTTGAGTCGAAGAATGTACGATTTGGATTTTGGGTCTAATTTTATTTCCATATTGGATTGGATTGGAGCTTTGGGTTCATCATTTTCGGTAGACTTGATTTGTCGGGCCATGTTGTAGGGTTTAGCCTTCAACATAAGGGTAAAATACACAGATGATCATGAAACCATGCTGAAATAATCTTTCTGGTAACTGAAGTTTTACAAGTTACAAAATAGCCATTAAACTTCCCAAAAAATTACAAAATTGTAAATTAAAGGGACCCTTAAACTTATCAAAATTTTTTCATTTTTTTATAATATTTAGTGATCATTTATAATAGTTTGATAAATTTAATTACTATTTCATAACTTTTTAAAATTTGAATGATCAAAATGATCATTTAGTATAATTTATTGACGATTTATACACTTTACCTAAACACATTTAAACCCACGGTATACGATATATGTACTCGTAAGTTATTTGAGCCAATCATTCTTGAATTGGCTTATGTATAATTTAGCACATAAATTTGGCACAGGAGTCTTTGGTTATTTCAAGCTGAAATATTGAATTGGTCGAGTTAATAAGTATTATTTTATCTTTCAATTGTTTCTTAAAAAAATTAAAATCGAGTTTATAAAATTCAATTCGAATATAATATATTTATAATATGATAGTACTAATTAATTCAAATTTAAATAACATTCTCTAATCATATAATCTTTTTGCATGTATAAGCAAGTTTTATGATGTTATTTAATAAATTAAATATCATTTAAAATTATATAGTAAATTTATAATGTTAATTTTGAAAGGAATTTTGAGGATAAAGTATTGTTGAGAGTATAAATGAGTTAAAGCATTGGTAGGAAGAATGAAATTTGCAAAAAGTCAATCGAATGACCAAATTGAATAAAAATACAAAATTAATGAACTAAATAAGAAAGAGAATTTATTTTTCAGAAAAGAGGAAATGAAGTTACATATATATTATAAAGTGTTAGAGGGACACACAGTTCAAATCTGATCAAAAATGAACTCAAAATAAAGGAGAAAATAAAGCTACAAAGATATTGTCGATTCATGTAAAAATTGATGATAAAGAGAAGCCAAATTTAATGTTAATGAATAAAGTCCAAGTTGCTGGCTTCAAAGAAATCTTCATTAGCAAGAAAGAAGCAAAATTTATGGCATCGAAGCCTACAACAGAAGCTGCTGAAATTAAAGAGAAGAAACAGAATTTAATGTTGTTCAGTCTACAACTTTTTTGGCAGTAGAAAGAGTGGGATCTAACTACTTCAACTCTACAAGTTCTCTTAACTACATACTAACATTTTATCTGACCCACTATGTTATTGCACATCTTCAACCAAGTGGACCCACCATTGTTCTTATTTTTCTTTCCTTCCATAGACTCTATCCGTCGGGCTTATTTTCAGTTACAAGGTATGTCAGGTTGCTAACCGTGAATGAACTTTAGGGGATGAATTTACTCGAAAATTACCTTGAAGTTGAAATTACTAGAGGTTTTGGTTAAACGGCTTGGTCGAGCACATTTGCCGTTGCACTTTGTCATTGTGTTATAGCCGAGTGCTGCAAGAAAGAAGCAGTGGCAGCTGGTTCACTCTTGGATGGTCCCTTAGCTCCCAATGCCCGGCTGGAAGAATATTGGGCTTGTAATCTGTTTCAGAAATCCGGTATGCCGCTTGATCTAGAGGAATACTCGGTTACTAATTTCAGAAACATCGATGATTTATCCTCCAAGAGATGTGCCGGGGTATCAAACTCTGCAACTCGACCTGCAAATGAGTTTCCGATTTATTTGGAAAATGTCAAGACTTTCAATTAAACTAATAGTGATGCATTCTGATTTAGAGATGAAATTTTAAAGACATAGCTTTACGTACCATCACTTAACACCAAAACAAAATCACTGTCGATTACGGTTGGAATACGATGTGCAATAGTGCAAACTGTGCAGTTCATGAACTCTGTTCGGATGATCTTCTGAATGAGATTGTCGGTGGCAGTATCAACTGATGCTGTTGCTTCATCAAGCACAAGTATTCTTGCCTGTTTGAGCAAAGCCCTGCCCAGGGAAACAAGTTGCCGCTGCCCCACACTCCAGTTATCTCCATTTTCTAAAACTGCACATTTTACATCGAAGAAAAAAGCACCTATCAACCACATTCAACTTCAAAGGGCTTTTCTGCCTCTTCTTTCTCTAAGCATTTTTTTCCAGTTCAGATGATTCATTAATGATGTCTGGGAGGGATGGTGCAAACCTGGTGCATCAAGCTTTTGGTCTTTCTCACGCACAATATCTCCGAGCTGAGACTTCTCAAGAGCCTGAGGAGAAGAAATTTTCAGCTCGTCATTCGAACATGATCTTATTTCAAGACTTAATATAGCATTAACATGTTAAAATTCATAGTATAATTTATCAGTAACGACTCTTCCAAGGAACTAATAATCTTACGGAAGAACCTGCAATCCTCAATAAAAGAACTACAAACTTGAGAATTATTTGAATTTTCTAGAAAAAATTTAATTTCTTAGGGGACAAGAAACATCATGAATGTGTACTTTATGCTGATGGAATAAAAACGGAACTTATGTGAAATTCATGGATTTCCATAACTCTCTGCTTAAGTATACTGGTATTGTTGGGGGAGGGGGGGAGCGGGGTGTGCAAGTGAAATTTATACCTCCCAAATTTCATGATCTGAATGCTCTTCAAGAGGATCAAGATTGTCTCTAATAGTTCCTTCAAATAATGTAGGATCTTGGGGTATGATACCAAGACGGCTACGTAGGTCATGGAGCCCAATTGTGGAAATGTCGATGTTGTCTATAATGATTCTCCCACCAGCTGGCTCAATCAATCGGAATAATGCTTGGATCAAAGTAGATTTACCACTTCCAGTACGCCCAACAATTCCTATCTTTTTGCCACCAGGAAATGCACAGGTTACTCCATGAAGCACCACAGGAAGATTCTCAGCATAGCGAACCTTTGAAAAAAAGAATACATAAAAGGAAACGTCAGCATGCGGTTCCAGTAATATTCTAACAGATAACATTCCATCCTTTTTGACATAGTTAAAACATAAAATCGTTCTTTTTTTTTGGGGGGGCGGGTGAAGAAAATGATAAACAAAATAAAAATTTTCCAGGTAAGTCCATTCGCATGCTATTCATAGGTTGCACAGTTTCCACATGATGTTGCTAGTAATGTGAAAGATCTTAACGTAGAAACAGTATGGTATATGCAAGTCTCTGATGTTTCATGGAAAAATAAGGTAGTGCATGGTGTGGTAGAAAAAAACTAGATGATACCTTTTTTTTTTTGATAGAAACTAGATGATACCTTTAAATCGTGCAATTCAATTGTTCCATGTTCCGGCCACAAAGACGGAGCGCGGGAGTTTTCAATAACAGAAGGAGCTTCACTTGGAATTTGGCTGTACTGATAAATCCTCTCTATGGAAATAATTTTATTCTCGAGCTTGCAAAAACTAAGTATCCACCGTGATAACCGTGCATTTAAGTTAAGGCCATATGTCACAGCAAGGCCTGCCATACCTGTTTAGAAGAAGCAAGAATTATCAGTCAAGGCCATATGCAATAACTCGAATGTCTTACAAACAAAGCAGAAAAATCAATAATAATGCAAAAGATTAACTTACTCGGATCAATTCTTCCTTGTGGAAAACTCACGAGCAAGATCATGCAAAAAGCAAATACAAAGGTCGAAAGTAATTCCATCCTCAGGCAGAGCCACTCAATAGCAGCAAGACTGCAAAAGAATGGGCGGGCGAAACAATCAAGAAGATAAAGGTTCCTCTTCATGAACCTTTTCTCTTGCCCAAAACCTCTAATCATGGCCGCTCCAGCAATTGATTCACCAAACAGATTAATAACTGGAGATTTCTGGATGCTAACAATGCGGACCAGTTCTCTCGATGAAGCCATGTAGTATTTCTGCAACCAGCAATATGTGAGCAATTCAGCAGAAGAAACATGTGTTTCCAGAGAAAACACAAAACAGTTCTGAAATTATGAAGTGTATGTTGAATTCATCAACAAAAATCAGGAGGGTCTAACGTATATTAATGAAATCAATGTAATGGTATGGGTATAACTTTTTCAACTCCCAATGCAAGAATCTTAAAATAAAGGCTTAAATACACAAATTTGGCCCTTGAACTATGCCACCTATGTCCTGTTGGCCCTATTCTTTAATCAATCAAGTTGACCTTCATTAACTTTTTCAATTTATTGCATGATGTCGATATTGTTCACTTGGATGCAGAAAAAGTTTGAATAAGAATAAAATTGTTAATCTAAAAGCTGGGGAAGAGCATCCTGGTTTTATTCCCAGCAAGAATGAGAAAACCGGAATAAACTTAAAGAAATAAACTACGACTAATGTGCTTCCATTTCTCTCAGAACATATGAGAGAATGGAATCCAACAACAAAATTTTGAGGCAAAATAACTACCTGCATCCACAAGCAAGCAACAGCCATTGGAATAACAAACAGCAGAACTTGCCAAGTAACTTTAGTCATCACACCAATAATTCCAACAAGCTGTATTGTTGTTGAAGCAAACCCACCGAGTCTAAAAGGAATATCAAGATCCACAACACTTTGATCAATAGACACCTGCGAGTTTACAAATCAAGGTCATCGCATAATCTGAATAAAAGAAAGTGGATTTCACATAAGCAAAAGGAAGACTTAGCAATTTTAAGCATATATTGTCAGGTGGAAATATATATATATATATATATACATAAATACTTACACGATTTAAGATCCGCCCAGCTGGAGTTGAATCGAAAAAAGACATTGGGGCTCGAAACACACTTCTAAGCATATTGATAAACAATTTTTGTGCAGCTGCTAGACCAAATGTGGCTACCAGAACAGCCCTAGTAAATATAAACCAAGAACTCCCAAAAGCGAGGGCCATATAAACAACAAGGAGGACCATAGGACTGACTTTAGCTTGATCTCCATCGGTCTGGGGGTTTGCCCATGCCATCCACCAATTACTAGCAATTTGAAGGAACTGGAATAATGTTTGTGCAAGAACAATAAGTGGTACCAAAAGGCCTTTATATGCAGCCGCCATATATGACAAGTACACCTTCATGCTGACTCTTCCTTTTACCCTTTCCTCTTCTTGAACAAGCTGATTTTTTCTCCGTTTTGCTTTCTTTTTCTCTTTAATTGCTTTCGTGTCTGAAGCTGATGCACCATCTTGTACTTTCTTTGCCAAATTGTCAATATTATTTCCAGCCAAATCACTTTTCTTTGTTAATACTTTTTTCCCATCAAGCTGCAAATTTTCATCCGAGTCTTCTGAAAAGTGAGTTGGAATATCCATGGCTTCAATTGCTTCATGGTGAGCGGAAACAAGAGTTTCAAAATCAGTCCCTGCCTGTAGAAGTTCATCATATTTTCCTGCCTGTATGATATGACCTTCCTTAAGAACCTGCGCATATGATTGATGCCATTGGAGAATAAGTATTTGAAATCAATCTCATCATATCACCAACTATAGCAAATATAAATGTATATATATTACAGCTCTTATACTAGACCCAGGAAAACATGACACCGAGCACTTGTATTGCACAATACACTCAAGAAAACACATTATATTTTTTTTTATAGGAATGGAAGGCCTCATTAAAAACCTCCCACATAGTTGCCTCTTGCAAAGAGACAACTAGCGGAAAGAGGAAAAGAGTGCCTAAATTTATTAATAACCCAAAATTACATAAGATTCCAAACAATACATAAAATTACCTAACATAGAACCATAACCAAAATAATACACCATAACCACTACTCATAAGAACAACCTCCTCACTCACTAACCAATTCCTGACTTAGCTAGACAATCAGCTTCCACATTAATACATCTGCTGATATGCTTCATTATAACATTAGACTGCACAACTGTCTTCTGAATTTCTGTAATCAGATCAACAAGGTGAACCGGGCAAAGTTCCGGGCTGTTGATCCACTTCACAGCAAGAAACGAGTCACTTTCCAAAATCAGAAATCCTTTGTCCGTCCAAACTGACTCAAAAAACACTTCTAACCCCACTTTGATAGCAAATATCTCAGAAAGAATAGGAGAACAAGGTCCTAGTGCTCTAGAAAAAGAAACCAACTTGTTCTTATCGGCATCTTTAAGAACTCCACCAATACCACTTCTTCTCCAATCAAAATTAACAGCCCCATCAACATTCATCTTAAAATAACCTGTAGGAGGAGGGCACCATTTTACTCTTGAGGATCTAAAGTTAGAGGGGACTTATGCAAATCCGCCAAAGTAAGATTGCCCACAAGGCTGTCCACTTGGATAGACACATCCTTGTTTTTAGCTAAAAACCATGAAGCCACCCTATACCTCACCAAAAAAAACAGATTAGCACTATCCAACTTGCCATTCTTAAATACAATCTGGTTCCTACACAGCCAGATTAGCCACAAAACAACTCCAGGAATAAATTTCCAAATACACGAATTTGGTCTTAATTGCGGCCAAGAAAGCAAGAAACCTTTCGGATTATTAGGGAGAACTGAATTAACTTTCCACATACGGAGGAGTTTGACCCAAATCCACCAAACCTGGATGCAAGAAAAGAATAAGTGCCTAACCGATTCTGGTTCCACTCCACATAACACACATAAAGGGGATTCAATATTTCTGACTCCTCTACTCATTAAGACAGTTTTAACAGCCAACTTCTGATGAATAATTTACCAAATGAAAATCTCCACTTTTGGTGGGACAAAACCCTTCCACACTATCTCCAACCATGAATTATCTGATTTTGACAAACTTGAAACTAATCTAGAGCAAGATTGAGCCGAGTACACACCATCCCCACTACCTTTCCACGCCAAGCGATCTTCACCCTTCAACAGAGGTTTAAAATTATCCAACAGAACCATCATTTCCATCCACTAATCAAACTCACTGTCCATTAAGATCCTCCTAAGTTGTAAATCCCACACCCACTCCTCATTAGACATACACCCGAAATAAGCCACAACCCCTTATTAACTGACAGAGCAAAAATCCTTGGAAACATAGACTTCAAGGAATAGTTAGAAATCCATGAATCATGCCAAAATCTAATTGAATCTCATTTTCCCACCTGAAGCACAACATTATTTCGAAAGCATAACCCAAATAAGTCATTAGTCCGATAGTTATTTACAACACCTTTCCAAATCCAAGACACATTAGATGGCAAATTAACATCTAAAACAATAGAACTCGTTCCCACATTATACTTGGAACATATCATTGTCTTCCACCAATAGTCCTTCTCCGAACCAAACTTCCAAACCCATTTGCCCATTAAAGCTCTATTCCGAAGCTTAAGATCCGAAATTCCCAAACCCCCCAACTCTTTATTTTTACAAACAACATTCCAGTTAACCCAATGAAACCTTTTCTTCTCAGCCGAAGAACCCCACAAGAAGTTGGCCATAATTGATTCCAGTTTCTTCCTCACAACCACTGGCATTTTGAACATTGACATATAATAATTAGGAAGTGAATTCAGGACTGATTTTATCAAAACTATCCTCCCTGCTATGGATAGAGAAGATACTTTCCAGCCTGCCAATTTCTGGTAGAACTTGTCATGCATTAAAGATTTTCATATAACAGCTCATCTCCACCACCTTTATATTTTATCAGAAGTTGAAAACAGAATATAGTTATTTGCAAGATAGTGTGGAAGGGTACATTGTAAATAACAGTTGAAAAGGAAAAGAACTATATTTGCAAATAACAGCTCATCTCCACCACCTTTATATTTTATCTCCATGTGAAGAAAAAATTAGTCTCACATGCTAATTTTCAGATGCCAAAAGAAAAACTCATACTTCACTATTTTGCTGGTAGATTGTCATGCATTAAATTGCATCATGTTTCCTAATATTCCATCAGTATTGACTTTGTCATAGTATTGAAGACAGTGTATCGTTATCTCGTATGGTGTTGCTTGTAGCATGTCATTACTGTCTAATTTATTAGATCATTTTAATTCGTCCCACCTACTTTCTATCAGTCGATCGCATTTGATAACTCCGTACAAAGACTGTGTTTTTTAGTCTTTTTACTTAAGTTATTGTTTGTCTAAACATTGTTGTCATAACATATTAGTTGCATTTAGGTCATATTTGCATGTGGTGGATAAGTTTTGCCTAGACAAGATTTATTTGGCTTAACTGATGCTGCTGAGGAGAAAGGGCCTTTGTGGGTTGTGTGTGTGCAGGAAATGACTTAGGAAGAACATTTCAGCCGTGACAAAACATTTCGCTAGGGTCAATGAAACACAAAAGACGAAGACAGTGAGGAATAGATTTTTCTTGCCGAGGCAAGATTTATCTTGCAAGTCTAACGCGAATCTGACGAACTGCTGATGTCACCTGCCAGATGTTTGATTGACCTCACGTGCAATCACGCCCTTCAAGAAATTTACCACCTCCAGCCGCCTTTCTATCTATAGCATGGGCAAGTCAACAAGGGTATGTAGGGAATATCCAATGACACAAAACCCTAGTAATTCTCATTATAAATACCCCATTATAGCCGCCCAGAAGAGGAGGCAAGGAGAAGATTGACCATAGGCGTGGAGTAAGCAGCTGCAGTACCTTACCTTCCACTGTTCCCCTACTCGACAGTCCTTGGTGCCCTCCATAGCCAGACTATAGCAGAGCTACGGTCAGGCCTCGAGAGAGGCTGGCCGCCAGAGCAGGCGTGGTGATGGTCAGAGCTGTCAGAGCAGAGCCCCTGTTTAGGAGTCGTTCTTCCTTTGTTCTCAATTTCCTTAATCTATTTTGGGCGTGTACTTAAGGATGATATTTTTGGATGATAAACTTGTCACACCATGATTTGCTTTACTTGGTGTTGGTTTTTGTTTTGTCAAGACAATTATTTGATGGTTAATAAATGATGCTTTATGATTTTACTTAGTCTATTTTGTTCATTATTTTAACATTTTGCCTTAACACTATAAGAGCCTTCGAGAGATTGCCTGGTGCCTAGGCGAAACATTTCTAGACCTTGTAAGAGCTTTCTTGAAATTGTCGTTTTTCTATAAATTGATTCTTAGATTCGAGAGAATTAAGATAGATTTACGTGAACAATGGAATAGATCTGGGATGGTGATGTTCTAACCCTTCTTAGGGATAAGGAGGGGGTTTCAATCGACTAAAATGGATAAACGCTCGAGTACGATAGACAACGACTATAGTTCACGCTGAGGTGTATTGCTGCAACAACAGTCTGACATACGAAGGGTTGTAGCTCACGCCGAGTTGTATTGGCATAGCAACCGTCCTAGAATACTCCAACAATCATGTCGGGCAGCCTAAGCATATCATAACAAATCCTTCCAGACTTAAAATAATTTCTCGCCATAGCAAAACCAACCTAAGTGCTCTGTGAAAAGTCTAAATATGTGAGGTTATTCTGAATATATTTGAATCAATGTTTTTCTTTGCCTTGACTATTTTTATTTGTTGCTCTTGCATATTTTCTTTGCCTAGACCAAACTTTTCTGCTACCACACTTCACAATATTTTCTTGCCTCAGCAATACTTTGCTACCTGTTTATATAACCCATTACTAATTATTTCTTCGTTTTGAAAAGAATTCAGGGACTAGCTAGTGACACCTAGTGGTGAAACATCAAAATCCTCACCAATCCCTGAGGAGATGATAACTCACTTACCCTTTATTACATGATTCAACTGTGTATACTTGCACAGATTTGCTTGCCTTAGCATATACATTTACAAGCGATCAGCATTCAACAACCATCAATACTGCACAAGATAGTAGATAAAGAGAGGGGTATTGTGTTGGGCAGTTGAGGGGAGGCACATAGCCTTGAACAAAGATTAGATTGAAAAAAAATAATATATCTTTTTCTCCACAAAAGAAAAGGCAGTGCTGAATGAAAAAGAACGCCCCAACAATGCAATCCACTATCTAAATGTTAAGCTAAAAAATTGTCTTCAGATCATAGAAGAAATATAAGCAAATGATGTGATGGGACATGAATTATAATATGTATCATACATTCAACCCATTAGAAATTAGTATACTTGAAGCATGCATCATTGCAATGCTGGACTGCTAGCAGAATATATACAGACACACACAAAAAAAGCACATATAGAAACCATTACATACCAGTATCAAATCTGCTGTAGGTAGAAATTCAACTTGATGGGTCACAAAAACAACAGTCTTACTTGCCAGAGCTGTCATTATGTATTCCTGCAGTTTCAAAAGGAAAGATTTGTTCAGCCAAATTCTATAGATATGAATAGCAATACCTGCAGTATATTGATTGAGCTAAACCTTGAACAGTTCTGAGCTAGTGTGTGCATCAACAGCACTGAAGGGGTCATCAAGTAAATAAATATCAGCATCTTGATAAAGAGCCCTTGCAAGCTGAATGCGTTGTTTCTGTCCGCCACTCAGATTTATACCCCTATCTCCAATTATGGTCTGATCTCCATGAGAAAAGAGTTCAAAATCCTTCTTCAAGGAACAAGCATTAATAACACTCTTGTATTTTGCTTTATCCATTGGACTACCAAAAAGAACGTTCTCTTCAATATTTCCAGATTGTATCCAAGCCGACTGAGAGACATAGGCAGCTGTACCGCACACTTGAACCTGTTCATGCATCAAAGTAAATGGCAACAGTTCAAAAAGCTTTTCCATTAATGGGAAAAAGATCATAAAACTAACAAAGAACCAAATTTGAGGAAGAAATTTGTTTCTATGAACTAGACTTACTTCCCCAGATATCTTAGGTATCTCCCCTAGGATGCAAGAGAGAAAGCTTGATTTCCCAGATCCAACTGTGCCACAAACTGCCACACGCATTCCATTTTCTACTTTCATTTGTATTCCAGATAAGGTGGGCCTTGCAGAAGAGGGGTCCCAATCAAATTCACCATCCTTAATCTCTATGGCCACCTTTGACATGCCTCGGGGCAGAACAATGGTGGCATCTTCCTGCAGTTCTTCCTCCTGCAGAAACCCAGAAATTCGATCAATAGAAACCTTTGTCTGCGCCATCATAGACACCAGGTCTGGAAAATTCCTGAGTGGTTCCTGAAGGATTCTGAAAGTGGCCAGTGCAGAAAGAACACTGCCTGCTGTGAGTTGACCTCCCAACAATATTGATGTTGCAAATGTAACAGCTGCAACAAATATAGGGGAGCTCCAAAAAATGAATGTAACAAAGGCCTGAGAATAGAGGGCTTTCCGTAGCCACATGAATTCCACTCCTCTCATCTCCTCCAATCCAACTCGATACCTATCCTCCCAAGCTTGTAGTTTCAGAATCCTCATGTTCCTTAGACACTCAGAAGTCTTCCTCATTCTTTCATCTTTGGCAGCCATTAACTTGTCTTGATAATCTTCTTGGACCTTTGCTAGAGGAACAGTAGCAACGATGGATATAATGGTTGCAATCAATGTGGCAATGGAAGCAATTCCAACATTTTTATATAGGATCGCTAGAGCAAGAATTATTTGCAGTGGAAGCATCCAAATGTCATGCAGATACCAAGAATAGTCTCCCACTCTTTGAACATCAACTGCCATGTAATTAACAATTTCTCCACTGGTATGACTTTGTTTAGCTAAGCTTGAAAGCTTCAGCCCCTTGCGGTATACCATCGCTGTTAGAGCTGATCTCACATGCATACCCAAAATGTCCACCCCGAGATACCACTGTCGGGTTGTCAATGTCTCTACGAGCTTTGACGCAAAAAAGATTCCAGCAAGAACATAACCTTCATGAGGGAAAGTCTCCCGCCCTCCCAAATAATCAACAAAGTAACTAATCATGTATGGGCCCACATAGGAAACAAGAGTGTTCAACAGAGCAAATACACCATTACAAGCTGCTTCTTCCAGAATGACTTCCAAAGTGCCCAAGCCAAAGAAGGTTGCTCTGACTGGCTTTCAGCCTTCAATTTTTCCCAATTAAAATTCAAAACCTTGTAATTGCTCTTGGCTCGATCTTTTGGTGCAAGAAGAGGAATGTCCTTAAGCTCAAGCGGCCGTTTAGCACCGAGTGAAAGAAGTGGATTTAGCCAAGAAAGTGTGGCCAAGCTAAAAAGCCCAGCATCACTATAAGGAGTAACTTTAAGACACCCCGCCTCTTCTTCAAGAAGCAATGGCTCTGAAAGGTCAGTGTTTCTACAAACTTGTATACCAGTCTCACCTCTAATTGCAACAAAACAAAGAAATGCAAGTGCCGGGGTTATGGCAAAATTGGCCAGTACATGAGAAGAAAAGTAGTTTGAACCATCAACTAAGAACGATTTCCCATCAACATACAAGGTACACGAGCCAATCAAAAACGAAACAAACCACCATACCCTTATCAACAATGGGAATCTCTCAGACACCTTAGATTTACAATTTAGAGCTGAAAAACTCAATAAGAGCCAAGCTAAACTATGAGCAGCAGGCAAGGCAAGTGCAGACCAATCCACAGCTTTCAGATATTATGAGAAGAAACACAAGGACAAGTGTTAAATTGATGCAAATGGAGGATAGTTCCAATATAGGTAAACCTTGAATTGCTCTCAAAAGGGAGGAACGTGGTGATTGTCCAGCAGATGATAAAGAAGAAGCTGTGATGCAATTGAGTAATAAACTAAAGAAGCCCAAAAAAGGGTTATTTGGAGGCAGAATTTGCAGATACATTGCACATGAAAACAAACAGATTTTCAATAACACGCAAAACAAAGACATAAAACCGACAGAACAACGAAAACAAAAAAAAAACGATTGTTTTTATTCCATTTTTCCTCTGTTTCTCTTTCTTATCTCTACATCACATATTCACATAACACGAGGGAACAAATAAAGGATACCAAAAATCCAATTGAACGAAACCCAAATCAGAAACAAAAACAAAAACTCTAATAAAACCGACCGGGTATTCTCTTCTTCTTCTTTTCATGATAATATAGAGAGACAAAGGGAGCACCACTCCTACATCAGCAATCCAAAATCCAAGTGAATGATCCTTAACGTGTACAATCTAGAGAAATGAAAGAGAGAGAAAAACAAAGCTGTAAGATTATATTTGCAGATTTATACGAGAGAAATAGAGAGGAATTAGTTTAGTGTTTGGGTCTCTGTTTTGTGCAAGGAAGAATTTTCCAACACGTTGAGGGATCCCAAACAGCCCCCAGAGTACCTTTATATGGAAAGAGATGATTAGATTTTAGGTCTTCTGGTGAGTGTTCAATGTCCAGTTCTAAGAAATACAGGAAATATAAACGGGGTTTTGTTTGTTTCCACTTTACTGTTGTTTGAGGTGGATTTCGTCCTACGAATAATGAATCCAATTCATGTTTTCACTAATTACACCATTATGAGTCTATGATTTGAACATAAAATTTATTTATTCATTCATTTCATTATTTATTTTAGTTTTTTAATGTCTTTTTACTCTTCTAATTATAGGACGAATAACTGATTTTAATTATAGATTAATTGAATTACATGTTTATTAATTTTGTTATGTTTTAATCATTTGATTATTTTTTTAAATTATATATAGCATTTATTTTATTTTTATTGTCTATTGTTAAAAAGTTAACAGAACTAATAATGTAATATTTCATATAAAACATTTAATTAAGATAAAAAAAATGAAATTATCATAATTTTTTAAAAACAACGACTTAATTTTTAAAAATAATTAAAAGTGAAAAAAGCATTTAAGCCTTTATTTTATTACTTTTATAGTAAAAATTAATAAAGAAAGTGAAGACTAGTGATGGAATCGACCTGTAAAGTTATGATAGCCTGTTCGAGTCTTGTTTCTTTTCCATGTTGACTTATAGAGATTAAAAGTTGAGATAAAATACCCTTATTTTACATGAATATTAAATTTACATATAAATCTTGATAAAATATATAATATGGTATATAGATTTTAATTTTATATAGTTGTATAAATGAATTTTAATCTAGTTGAATTTTTACAGATTACTAAAATTATTTTATATGCAGAATTATTTTATATGCATAATTTTATAATATGAAAGAATATATATATATATATATATATTATGGTTAGATAAAGTCAAAAAATTAGAAAAAAAACCTTGTCATAATACTATAAATAATTATAATACAATTAATATAGAAACTTGAATAACTCGACTCGAATTTCTTAAGCTCGATTTGACTCGAAAAAATTTCAAGTTAAGTTCAAGTTGTAAAATACGACTCGCCAACTCAAATTTTTTTACTCGACTCGACTGGATCGAATGATTACCCCTAATTAAAATGGAACAAAACTGATAGTTTAGGTACTAAATGCGCTGTTTACCCAAAATATTATGATTATTATTGGTTGTTTTACAATTCTTCTTGATATTATAATAAACATTAGGGTAAATTATGCATTTAGTACCTAAACTATCAGTTTTGGTCTGTTTTAGTACCTAAACTTTTTTCCAAAATCACACCTAATATTTAGTTTTTGTTTCATTTTAGTATCACACTATGAAAATCTTAACGGACTGCATGGCATAGCTCTAGTGGACGGACGACCGATCTGAACGGTGGACCACGAGAGAATAACAAATTGACTAACATAATCTAGTTTCAGGCCCATAGGACGGTGGGCCATGACGATTGCAGGATGAAGAAATCAAAGAGTCCATCATCGATTTGGGGAGATTTGAGGCGCTTCCCGGTAGAACGAATGTTGGAATCGTATTCAGGGGGTTAAAAAAATGCGGACAAGAAAGTTTAGGCTTCATCAGCCGACAGATGCAACAGCCGACGATTGTAGGCACGAAGACTGGCTCATCCATTAAGTTTTTAATGGCAGATAAAATGAAACAAAAACTAAACGTTATGCATGATTTTGAAAATAAAAATGAAAGTATAGGTATTAAAACAGACCAAAACTAATAGTTTAGATATTTAGACACTTAGTTTACCCTAAAAGTTATTATTATTATTATTATTATTATTATTATTATTATTATGATGATCATCATCATCATCATCATTATGGTGTTATATGTTTGATGAAGAAATAAAATTAGAATAAAAATTGATATATGTGGTGAATGTAGAGAGTCTCAAGTTAAAACAAACATTTTCGTCTATTTAATTCGTAAAAAATTATATTTCCTTTGTTAATTGTTTTATTAAAAGTAGGAATTCGGTTGAAATAGGCTCTGGACAATGAAACAGTTTAAGATATTATAAATACTTTTGTATTTTATTATTTTTAACATTTAATATTTGTATTTATTCGTGATTATTTTGTTTTGTTTTTTTTCTGTAAACTTATATATTTTTATTTTATAATCATTATTATTATCATAATCTTCTAAATATTTATAACAATTATTGTTGTTGTTGTTTTCTATCTTCTTACAAGAAAACAAAGTGATACACTTTATATTAGTCAAAACATAATACTATGACTTGACTTCTCAGTTAAAATAGGCGAAGATTGTAAAACTTGTTCCTTCCCCGTTTTAATTTTCATTACTGGTTTGAACATTACATTTAACTTCACGGTTTTTATCGCCTTATTCTTCAACTCTTAATTGCCTTATTTTTATAAATATTAGTGAAACATATCAAACACTTTTAAAGGGGTTTTTTTCAATTAAAAAATATCGGTATTTACGGTGAGGTTTTATAGTATTAATTTTTTTGATGTAATGAAAGCAGAGGTAGCAATAGTCAAACAAACAGTCCGCCCTTTGAATATGAAACGTCGGGGGATTAAGTTTGGGTTATCCTCCTTATCTAAATAATTATAGGGTAAATTACTCATCGTACTTTTAATTTTTTTCAATTTACTGCTTAACTTTATACATTAAACATTTTTAGTATAAGATAACTTTAACTCCATAACCTTTCATTTTCTCAAATCCAAACTCCACCATATATCAAACACTTTTAAAGGGGTTTTTTTCAATTAAAAAATATCGGTATTTACGGTGAGGTTTTATAGTATTATTTTTTTTGATGTAATGAAAGCAGAGGTAGCAATAGTCAAACAAACAGTCCGCCCTTTGAAATATGAAACGTCAGGGGATTAAGTTTGGGTTATCCTCCTTATCTAAATAAATTATAGGGTAAATTACTCATCGTACTTTTAATTTTTTCAATTTACTTGCTTAACTTTATACATTAAACATTTTTAGTATAAGATAACTTTAACTCCATAACCTTTCATTTTCTCAAATCCAAACTCCACCATCATTTCTCTTTGGCTTCCTCCCACCATTTTTCTTTGATTTGTTTGTTTTTTCTTTTACCCAAAACCTTATATGGAACTTTTTATGTTATCAATGTGATTTGTAAATCCTTTAGCTTTTGAAACCATGAAGAAATTATCAAAGGGAGGCCTTTTTTTATTTAGAATGATTTGATTAATGGATATTTGAAAATGGAGACTTTGAGGAGGCTTGAGGTTTTATATCATGATGGGGAAAAAACAATTGATGCAAATGCTCTTATTAATCTATATATGTTTTTTTAGGACTGTCTCAATCGTCAGAAGATTTTGTCGGTGACAGATCCACCTTTCTATTTGCATCGAAAATAAAAGAAGATGAGGAAAGTAGGGACGATAGAAGCATAAACGTTAATGATGGGGAAGAAAGCGGAATCGAGGGAGTTTGATCCTTTGTGGTGGCATGAGGAAAGCAATGGAGGATACAAGTACTAAAAGAAAAGAGAGAGAATGGTGGAGACTAGAGAGACATTAAGTGGTGATGATGAGGAGTAAAATGGGTATAAGATAATAAAAAATAATATGAATAAATTATTAATTTTTTAAAAATAAAAAAAATGTTGAATCATCACAGAGTTAAGAAAAAATTAACAGAGTGGCAAAAAAATTCAATGTATAAAATTTAGAGAGGAAATTAAAAAAAATTGAAAGTACAGTGAGTAAAATAGGAGAGAGAGTAAAGTTCGATAAGCGTGTAAATTACCCTAAATTATATTCTAAGAAAATTTGTTTTGGGTAAAATACACAAATGATCCCTCGACTATAGGGTATTATTTTATTAAATCCCTTAACTATTAAAAGTTACAAAGTGGTCCTCCGACTATAGAGTGTTACTTTGTTGAGTCCCTCGACTATCAAAAGTTACAAAATGGTCACCAGACTATTTATTATATTTCAAATTCATCTTTTTCCGTTAAGAATTGAGGTTATTCTGAGCTGAACATTAACTTACTAACGTGATATGATAAAATATGATCTCAGAATCTCAAACGACTGTCACACTCTAGTCATCATGTTAATGTCCAACTAAGAAAATCGTCAATTTTTTAATAGAAAATGATAAGTTTAGAACATAATTAATTGTCGTGTAATCATTTTGTAACTTTTGATAGTCGAGTGACTCAACAAAGCAACACTCTATAATCGAATGATCATTTTGTAACTTTTAATAGTCAATTGACTTAATAAAACAGTACCTTATATTCGGGGGGTTGTTTTTTTATTTCGATTTTATATTTAAGTGGTAAATTGTCGTTCTGCATGTCCACATCCCACTTTGATTGGTAAGTTCGCACAGTTATTTTAGTCAATTTGTGTCCACTAAAATTTCATAAGGTATCATCATCATTAAAAAATCCACAAATATCAATTAACATTGTTATTAAGGGAATAATAGAATGCTATTGACTATTTTTGGTTAAAATTTTTCAGACTCGTACCTATTCCTAAAGTCGGTAAAGTAAAAGTTGGTGCAAGCTGTACCACGGGGGCTAAGTTAAGTTTTTATTAATATGGTGCAATAAAAATTGTACCCAATGTTCAGTCGATCCACACAATAATAATAAAAACTAAGAGTATTTAGATCTAATTCGATCCAAAAAATAACCGAAAATTGATCCAAAAAACCGATAACCGAAAAAACTGAAACCGGTCTAGTGTGTTTGGGTTTTTTATAAAAACCGATCAGTTCAGTTTCAGTTTGGAAATCCGAAATCGATCCAAACCAAACCGAACCGATTATTGTTACCACCACCATTGCTGCCTCCGTTCCCCTTATGGGCACTCTTATTTTTACTATCCATTCGCTTTTACCCTTGTGATTATAATCTTTTACACCTTTATCCTTCTTAAAGAATCATAGTAATCCACCTTTTTACCATTATCATTTTTACCTCACTTGTTCTTTTCACCACCTCCTTTCTTCACTCCATTGCCATGTTTCCCATCCTAGTTTTCTCTCTTGCCTTTCATAACTACAGGTATATCAAAAGCATCTCCTTTTTTCGGTTTCATTGTTGGCAGTGTTATTGTTATGCTGTTTTTTATAAAAAAAAATTCAAGAATTATTTTGAAATATTAGAATCCAAAAACCGCACAAATCCAAACCGAATCAAGCCGCACTTAATTGGATCGTATCGGATTTTTTTAGAAACATCCAAACCGATCCAAACCGCAAACATTTATACTTTCAGATCAGATGAATATTTAGCCAAAAACCAATCCAAACCGACCGCGAAGACCCCTAATAAAAACTGCACCCAACCCAAAGGATTAGCTATATGTTGTTATCATGATGCATCCTCTGTCGTTGGATTTTAGGATTCTATAATAACCAATGGCATTGCTAGCTTGTCTTCTGGCATGCAAAATTGCAGATACCTTCACTATTCGATAATAATCACATTATGAGTATAAAATATTTTTATATCTATTTAAAACGTGGGTATTTTATAATTTGGTGATTACATGTAATATTTGTTCAGAATTTTTCTTAATCACTGACAACGCACATACATCCTGCAGACGCAACTGTTCGAAATCAATCTCTATAGAGAACAATCGTATACTTAATCATTAAGGTCACTTGGTGAATTCTATATTTTTTTTAGATTTAATTAGTTGATGGGCATTTTGTTAATTTTTTGTTTCCAAAATAGAACCAATTAACAATAGTTATAAAATCACAAGGAAAAGGGTCATGGGACCCTACTTATTAAATTATGGGATAAAATTTGGTAATGTTAATGTATGGCCTTCCATTTTAGCAACACTTCAAATAACAAGCTGTTCGTGTTCTATATTTGTATGAAAAAAACACGTGCTGATATTACCATAGATTTTGGTCATCTCAATAATTAAAATCACCAAATACCACCAACCCCCTCCTCTGATCTCAAACTCGAGCCATCCAGATTGTTTGCATTAATATTCCACCTTTCACACTTAAATTCTCAATCTGTTCCCACGTCATCCAATCAATGTCGCACGTGACCATAGTGTCACAGACATAACATCTCGACCCTATTGTTAAGCTGTGCGGCACTTGAATGGGACAACTCCCAGACAAGTTAGTCTTTCCCAACATAGATCTGAGTCTTATATTAACTCGTCATAAAGCCAAGCCGTATTGGCTAAGAATAATTATTCAGTTCATTATTCGATCCCACAATAACTTGTCCAAATAGACAAGCCACATATTAATCCCCAAACCATAACAGAATCCCAAAGCCACAAGTAATATAGGAATGGAGACCCCGCGGGGCATAGCGGATGCTAGGTTACAACCCCACTTCTCAACCATGAGCGCGATATGCGGCCCACTGGCCCCAAACCGTCCCTAGGTGTCATCTTAGAGAGACATCGTACCATCCGCTTGGTCCCAATGCCCGCACACATAAGTTCCAACTGACATAGGAGAAGGTCGCTTACACCATGGTAGCTCCACATGCTAGCTCAAGGTGAGGGGGATGGTGGAGACCCAACACCATATCACTTCCCCCTAAAGAGCTAAAGAAAATCACCACCTATGACACCAGTACATGTTGGAAAGTCTGAACGGAGGCCATTACCTTGACAGACCCTCCATCTTCATTCTTCAATCTTTTCCTTGGCTCGCATTCGCACCTACTCGACCTACCATCGGGTTATTGTCATGGTAATCTCATGAAAATGAGATGTCCCTGACATCCTCCTCCACTCACTTTAGTCGATGTCCTCATCAACACAAACCATATATTAATTACATTATTGCATATAGTTGACTCTTCTCATTAGGTCTATCGCTTGCCATCACGAACTAAGATCATGATTCGTTCCATAGGACACCAAACTCATAGCTTTGGGTAGAGTAAACCCACTTAACTTATTTTTCTCTCATTGCCATTGAGCTTATTCTTTCTAAGGATATAACCTTGAGAAACCACTATTGTTATGTCTAACATTCTAAACACCATCACATATTCTAAACCATATGACATATCACTTGGTGTGTTACCCCTGCTTACCTATCGGTTTACAACATCTCAAATGATGTGTCACATATGACAAGATCTAGGTAATCACTCCCAAATGTACCATATTGTCTCAAAACATATGGGCACTCATTTATGTTAGACATGTCCCAACTCAAGTTCTCTCGGCCCTTAATAAACGCCATGTCTAAACTTGGTCCACCGGACTCACGATTGCTCACTTGCAGCATCTTCGACAAATGATTAATGCTCACCCACTTTTATTATTTTCTAAGCCTACCAAAATAGTAATGATATACCTTCTCAAACACTAAACATCACACCACCACTAACAAATACATTTGTTATCCCAATAATTATAATACGACTCTAAATACACCATCTCAAAATATTTGCTAATATAAATATAACACAAATCCAAATACCTCATACCAAGATACCAAAGTACCTTAAGCTTACCATTCTCTATGATTCCCACTTGTTGACACTATTCCAAGTGATTTGCCTTGCTCAAACCATTCTTTTTGAATATGCATCCTACAACTCCATCTTTTCCCTACTCGTTCTCATGATGGCCTCATCATGAACAACATTTACTACACCGCTCTACACTTTATAACTCCACATTCTCCTCCGCTCGATCTCATGATGACCTCTTTATGAACATCCATGTGCCTCATTCCCATAAATTGTATACTTAATCTACTCATGTGTGCCTCGATCTTCTCTCTCACCCAACTTTTGGTGATGACCTCGTCTCAAGTCCAATCATGCTTCATGGTATTTTCCCTACAATCAATAAAATGGCAAATAATGTTTTATTGACACAATTACCTCTTTGTGCCTTTTTGCCTCGAACTCAATATATTAGCCACATAAATGGTTTGTCGGCATGAATAGCCAATTCCCATATGTATAGTGATACATTTGATCTTGTCACCTAGTAACCTGCATATTATTAGTGTCACCATCAAGACCTGTTGCAATTCGACGATTTCCTCAACCCACTTGGCTCTCAAAGATCCTCAACATTGTTATGATCCCTTGACCCATTGACTCATGTTCATGATTTCCTCAAAAACCCAATGAGAACAAACGTTCTAAAAAGATCGAGCGTCCTACATAAGATTAAAAAAATTAGCATCATATTGCCACAAAGAATAAGAACCTATGCGTAAATATTAAAAATCAACATCCCTTGTGCCATCAAGAAAAAACACTCGTACACGAATATCTAATGAGCACTTTTATGCCCAAACAACATGCGCCCCTGAGCGAATATCAAACAAGAAACTCCGTGCTAAAAAAACATGTGCCACTATTTGCAATATTAAATTATTCCATCTTACCTACTCCACACGTTAGAGCGCTTAGCGTCAGATCAGATCATCCTGTCCACTCCCCTCTGGAAGCGCTCGATGTGAACTCTATCTTTCCTGCCTACTCCCAACGTTGAAGCATTTGGCGTGATATTAAATCACCCTACCTACTCCACACGTTAGAGCGCTGACAAAACTGCCTGAGGCTCATTACATCAGCTACCTGATTATGTTTCCCTGGTTTATGCTCAAAGCTAACATCAAACTCTGCTAGAAACTCTTGTCATCTAGCTTGCTTTGCTGTCAGCTTCGATTGCGTTAAAAATGGCTAACTTCCATATTATTTATCTTTACCACAAAATTTGGAACCCATCAGATAATGTCTCCAAATCCTCAAATAATGAATTACTGCTAGAAGTTCTTTCCCAAGGACGTATATCTCACTTCAGTCTCATTTAACTTCCTACTCTTAAATGCTACGAGATGTCCATCCTGTAACAATACCCCTCCGATTGCATAATCTGACATACATGTCTCTAACTCCAAAGGTTTTTTTAGATCTTACAAGGCAAGAACTGACTCACCACCTCTTTAAATCGTCACATGCTTCTTAGTATTCCTTTGATCAAGCCCACTCAATACCTTTTTTCAGTAAATCAGTGAGTGATTTTACCCTACGGGAATAGTCATCCACAAAATATTTGTAATAATTGGCCAAATCGAGGAAATGTTTGAGCTCACTAACATTTTGTAGGGTCGGCCAATCTTAGATAGCCTTCAATTTCTCTTTATCCATACGAATGTACCATTGCTCAATGACATGGCCTAAAAATTGGACTTGGGTCTGAACGAAATCACATTTCTCCTTCTTCATAAATAATTGATTCTCTCGCAATCTCACCAACACCACTCGAAGGTGCTCCTGATGCTCTTCTATATAAGTGTTAAATAGCATTATATCATCCAAATAAATGACTACGAACTTATCGAGGTAGCCATGGAACACCGACTCACACAAGTCATTTTCGGTTCATTCCCTTCGACCACCCTTACTAGATAATATCCCGACCTGATATCCATCTTGATAAAAACTTGGAACTTTAAGGCATTTATGAATCATATATGACCCATTTTAGCTAGCTCAGGCTGGGTATCTTCTGTGGCAGTGTTCACTTGCACTATGACCTTCATTGATGCCACCATGGCAGGACACTCTATAACCTGATGAGGCCCATTCCAAAGGAAACACTTCAATGAGGATATATTCCCTCAATTGCTCGGTCCAGGACCATCATGAACTCTATTTTGGGTTGGGTTCCTTCCAGGGAATCTCTTATTCGCTCCCCAACCCATTATCTTCTCCTCTCAAGCCAGCTTGTTCCTACCCACCTATTGGGTACTAGCTCTATCGTGAAGGCGCCTTACACTTTCTAGGATGATTGTTGTAATCATTAAGGCACTCAATAGCATCTATCACTACTGTCAAATCTTGCACCTTCTACCTCTGCAACTCAAGCATAGCCCACGGCTTGAGCCCTTCAAAGAAATGAAATAATTTGTCCCTTTTAGACATATATTTGATATCTAGAATTAAAGTTGAGAACTACCTCATATACTCCTATTTGGTTCTTATGTGGGTCAATTCCCTCAACTTCTTATGAGCATTATATTCTACATTCTCAGGGAGAAAGGAAGTCTTCAATTCATTCTTTAATGTATCCCCAATCTTAACGGAGCACCCTTCATCTTTAAATTTGGACCACCGCCATAACTTAACATCACCTCCCCAATACATCGAAGCCATCACCACCTTATCTTCCTCAGACTCAGTGTGCATTACCCAAAAATATTGCTCCATGTCAAACATAAAATTCTCAATCTCTTTAGTATCTCTTGCTCTATCAAAATGTTGTAGATAAGGGATCTTGGCTCGTACGCCTCCTTTTCACCAGGGTTTGAAGTTAAACTAGCTATAACCCCTTGAAGCACATTAACTTGGGCCCTCAGCTCCTCAAACCCAAGTTGTATGACACATGACATATCTTGCCTCGTTCTCCAATTCAATCATTGTCTTAGCCAATTCCTCTTGAGTCTCATTGACTCTCCTCAATTGATCACCAGAGATCATAAGAGCTCTAAATGCTGCTAGCGTGGCTTCAAAAAATTTCTAACTTTCGTAGATCCACAGGCGCTGTAATTTCTTCCTCCTCACCTCTGTGAGAGCTTTTTGATCCACCATTACGCATACAAATCATTCTTGTTTGTTCGTCGATACCTCTATGCCTGTAACACAAATAAGCACCACTGTGCCTAAAAAATTAAAAAGAAGAAAAACACCACTGTGCTGAATTCATATCACATTTGTGCTTGAATTAACGATTGAGCACCTCTGTGCTTCAATCGACAAACTGACACCTCTGTGCAGTTAAAAATGATTGAGCACCTCTGTGCTTTATCTAGAATTTGGCACATCTGTGCTTTGTAATGATTGAACACCTGTGTGCTTCAATCTAGAATCTGCCACCTCTGTGCTTTGAGATGATTAAACACCTATGTGTTTCAATATAGGATCTGTTACCTCCGTGCTTCAATCTAGGATCTAGTACATATGTGCTTTAAAATGATTGACCACCTCTGTGCATCAATCTAGAGTCTGGCACCTCTGTGCTTTGACAAACGATTGAGCACCTCGTTGCTATAATTGACAATTAAGAACATTTGTGCTTAATTCAAAAATTGTTCACCGTTATGCATCAAACAAGCAACAAACATCACCATGATTTAATTAACGAAGCGAGCACCTCTGTGCTTTTAATCAAAAAGATCACACACCATTGTGTTAGGATACCAAGTGTCATGGACATAACGTCTTGACCCTATTGTTACACCTGCAACACTTGAATGGGATAACTCTCAGACAAGTTAGCCTTTCACAATATAGATCTGGGCCTTATATTAACTCGTCATAAAGCCAAGACGCATTGTCTAAGAATGATCCTTTAGTTCATTAGTCGGTCCCGCACTAACCTGTCCAAATAGATAATTCACATATTAGTCCCTAAGCCATAACATAATCCCAAAGCCACAAGTACTCTGAGAAGGTAGATCTCGCGGAGCATAGCGGATGCTAGGTTGCAACCTCACTTCTAAACCAAGAGTGTGATATGAGGCCCACTGGCCCCAAATCATCCTTAAGTGTCATCCTAGAGAGATATCATATCGTTCGCTTTGTCCTAATGCCCGCATACCTAGGTTCCACATGAACCTAGGAGAATGTCGCTTACACCATGGTAGCTTCACATGCTAGCTCAAGGTGAGGGGATGGTGGAGACCCAACACTAGATCACTTCCCCCCTAAAGAGCCAAAGAAACTTACTAGCTATGACACCAGTACATGTTGGAATGTCTGAACTGAGGTCGTTACCTTGAAAGGCCCTCCATCTTCATTCTTCAAGCTTTTCCTTGGCTTGCAGTTGCATCTATTCGGCCCACCTTTGGGTTACTGTCAGGGTAATCTCATGGAAATGAGATGTCCTTGACATCATAGCACCCCATGAAAACAACCCCCTTTAAAAAACAAAAGGGTAAAAATACACAAGATGGTCCCCGACTATAGAACATTGCTTCTTGAGTCATTTAACTATTAAAATTTATAAAATGATCATTGGCTATTTATATGTTCCAAACTCGTCCATTTTCATTAAAAAAATACACAGTTGTCTGAAATGGAAGTTAACATGCAGATTAGGATAAGATAGCCGTTTTAGATTCTGAGATCAAATTTTATCATATCTCGGTTAGTAAGCTAAACATCCAACTCAAGTTGTTGTTAACTTTTTTTTATATAGAAAATGACAAGTTTGGAACATATGAATAGTCAAATGGTCATTTTATAACTTTTAATAGTCAAGAGACTCAACAAAACAACAACCTATAGTTAAGGGATCATTTTGTAACTTTTAATAGTCGATAACTCAACAAAGCTGCATCCTATAATTAGATGATCACTTTGTAATTTTTAATAGTCGATTGCTTAAAAAAGCAGTGCCTTATAATAGGGGGACCATTTGTGTACTTCGCCCTAAACAAAAACACTAAAATTCAAGGAGGAACATAAAATTATATGTCAGAAATACAAATTTTGAAAAGTTATACTATTAAAAATGTAAATGGTGAAAAACCAAAAAAAAAACAAAATATGAAATTAAAATTTCAAAAGTTATTAGTGTATCTCAATACCCCGCGTCTATCCAGGATGGGATCTCCACACTTCCACATTCACCAAAACATTTTCATTTCAGCATGTAAAATTGACAGTATGAAAATGTCTCCTCCTGCCTTGCAATCTGGAACTATATAGATTAAGATCTTTGGGGTCTATGTCACATCACATTGAACATGAAAAGACAAAATTCTTCTTTATTATCTCCATTCTACACCGTTCACTTTCACTCTCGTGAATTTCACTTCATTCCAAGCTCATACAAAACAGAGTTTGTCTTCTTCTTACACTCGCCGCACACATCAACCAATGTACAGAATTTACACTGTTATTACAATATGCATGTCTCTTTTATGGGTTTTTGTAATGATTCCTTCTCCTTAAATTCTGCTCCTAAACCATTCTTCTTCTGTCTTCAATAAGCACTGTTTCTGGATATGTTGTATAAACAAACACTTTCCAGCATAACAACATGCTAAGAGTTAAATGATATGTAATTAAATCATCGATAGAAAATATTTAAATTATATAAAAATTTAAAATTTTCAAAGTAACGACTCCTAACACCCCTTCGATATATCCCTACTGACCTCTAACATCATGGTCGAGGTCAACTCGGTCTCGTATTAATGATGTCCGGAAGAAAACGGTTGGATTTTGACGGTGAAAGACATGTTTTGAATTCACATTTTAGCACATGTAAATCTCTCTTTTATCCAACCCTAAAGAGAGGAAATGGAGCCACAGAGGTTCAAGATCATCCGAAGAGAAATATATTGATCATTTCAATAAGAGTTGCTCTATAAAGTAAGTAAACTGCTCAATTATTCTATTGACAATTACAAGGACGTGTGAGTATGGCCCAAGTTCGATTTCGCTAAGCATTTAAGCAACCTTTTGCTGCCGAGTGAGTTCACATTTTTTTATGCCACTGCACCCTTCCCGGTTCGAAAATGGCTTGGGGTCACAGTACTTCATATCTGGAGTTTTGCATCTGGGAAGCTTATCCTGATGCAACGCACCTGTTAATTGGACTATGTTTCGTGTTCGAAGCTCGACAGTCAAGCATCTGATAGAACGCTGAATAGTTGTGTGTCTACGAACAGCTGCGAACGAGAGAACAACAACAATGAGTAAGCAATCAAGGCTCGGCAATTACCATGCACACCAGATCATTTTAAACAGCAGCAATGAGCAAGCAATCAAGGCTCGGCAATTACCATGCACACCAGATCATTTTAAACAACAGCAACGAGTACGCAATCGAGGCTCGGCTAAATGAGCATATGTACCAGGATTTATGTAACAAAACCTCATCCTATTGAGTGTGGGTTGAGTAATTCTGCCTATTCAATGGACAAGGGGCTAAATCACACTTTAACATTGGTATGAATGCAGTGTTTTTTTTATAAAAAAAAACTAGTGTCCAAACTATACCCTTTATTAATTTTAGGGGTGTTCACATTTCTACTGAACTATGGGATTGGGGTACTATATTTTTTATTTTTTATTTTAAATAAAATTTTGAAAAGAATATAAACGCGGCATGCGTTAAATAACAGTTTTTTTAACTACACAAACACTTAAAAAAATAACATCGGAAATATTAGACACCTACTTTAACCGAAAAATACTTTAGACACCTAAACTTAACGAGGAGTATAATTTAAGCCCTTGCTTGTTAATTAAGCCTCTAAAAAAATTATGTCAGCCATTAAAATAGAGAACTTAAATTACCTTAATAAACGGCCGGTCCTTGGTAGGAAAACAGTCAATAAAGCTATCTTTAAGTAGTAAGGAAACCTGGAAGTTAATAGAACACATAAAAAGAAGATGATAAAGATCCACCAGTTGTGCAGCAATTTGTTCGGAAAACATAAATTATAGGAACAAAAGTGCCAACCCTGTCATGGTCTGATTGTAAGCTGGTAATCGTATGAGATCTCAGGTTCACACAAAGCGACTCCAAGTATCGTTGCATGACTGCCAAAAATTCTGTTGCAGCTTGAGCCTGAATAGATACAACTGATATCAGTAGCTGCAAAATATGCAGATAAAAAAGCATCGATGAAATGATCGGTAAACACCTGAACTTCATTGCACCTATATGTAGGATGTCTTTTAGCAAATGAACCTTCAGCCTTCTCATGAGAGTTTGGAATGTGTCGGGCCTAATTCCGTTACTAGCTCTCTATGCCGAGTAAGTGTAGGCAAGTGACATGTTTTCACCTGAATAACAATTAAAAGATGAACTACGAATACTCCAAGGGTGAATCATGGGTGTAAATGAGACGAGACATATAGGGAGTTATTCAAGTTTGACTCAGTCAACACTAGAATCAAATGGGCTTGAACTCGAATCGAGTTCTAAACTAGCTACATGATACCCGACTTGAAAAGTTCGCGAGCAACTCGAAAACATAACATATTTAATTTTAATCCGAAACTATAAATCTCGGAACCAGACATGCAATCTGTCTAGAAATAATAAATACCTGGTTCTTGAGCAAATTAACTTGAACAAGATTAGATGTTTTCATTTTCAAATCCGTGGGTTTGTGTTGTAAGCCAACCTATATAACGAAAGGAAAAAAGGATCATTTTTTGTTCATTCAGAGCTTTAACCAACTTAAAAAATCTGGAAAAGAATCCTTTTTTGTTCGTGCATGCGCAATATAAATCACATATAAATGTAATGGAACATGCTTTCTGTCTTTAATGTCAAGTGTCAGCTAAGAATTTCATGAACCATACAATCATTTTAAAAGAATATATATTATTAACACCCAAAAGAACACTATGACTCACAATAAAAGGAACCGGGGCATCAAGAAATTCAAACATCCTCATTGGCAGCACCCGAGTACAAATAGAGTTTCAGAAGGTGAGAAAAAAAGGATCATAATACACTATTAAAAGTATGATTGATATCTAGAAGGATTACTAATGCACCAATACGGATATTAAGATTAACTATGTTGCACTGATACGGACAGAACCCATCTTCAACAGCTTATTGATGATATAAAGATTTGAGCAACATCCAGAAAGATATATGCCAACTAGAATTTCAGAAAGAGCAGCAGGGACAGAGGTTATGGAGATTACCGGAAGAAATAAACTCTGCCATTGAAACGGACGAATCAAAGAACCATAGATAACACTGCAGCCGATAGGACACCCTGCATCGATGCAAACTAGTTTCAAAGCCAGGATATAATCTATGTAGTTGGCCATAGAAAACAACTAAGTGCAGTATGATCTTCTTACCAGATTAGGGCAAATCACTATGACCTGTTTCTCCAATAACACTCCATTTATCATTGCCAAAATCTGGAAAAATGATCAAAAGGTGGAAACATATCTATCAAAAATAAATGTCTTGTATATCCCTTCTAATCAATCAAGATATCCAGAATATCACTTTGCTCTTTGTTCCTAGATAATTTGTACATAGTATCGGAGCTCTTGTCATATGATCAGAGGCTCCACTGTCGACAATCTAACAAAATCATTATCAACGTTATTAGCAAATGAAAGACTCCACAAAGTGAATAGATACGTGTCGTAGAACATTACACTATCAAGAGAGAGAACTCGACAAATTGTTGCTGTCGTCCGTAAAGAAAATTCAAAAGCTTCCTCTGCTGCTGCCAACTTTGGACCAACCTTTCACCAAGTTGAGTGATATGTAAGTGAATATATATGTTACAAAGCACCATTGATTGAAAATAGTGTAACAAGAGAAATACCTCAGCAGGTTCACATGAAGATATAAAGCTTCATCCAGTCCAAGGGAAGAAACTGGAGGTCTCACATACTCAATAGCCTGTAAATGCTCAAGAGGCTGAAAATTACTTCTTTTCCTCGTGGCGGAAGAGATAAAGCATGATTACGAGAAAGAAGCATCCTTCCGTTGATTGTTCATACTTCAAATTAACCTCCACAAACGAGAAAGAAGCATCTAAGGAGGTAAATGAAGGAGATATATCAGTTTTCAACGAGCTGGAGAGCTTCTTTTTCGATGACCAGTCCTTTCCCGAAGAGTCTCTTGCAGAACTTACTTCACTTTCTGCCAATCACATGTCTTATGATTTTCTTTGATGTCGACATTCAAAACGTCTTGGGATCATCTAACTCGTGCATAACCGATTAGCATAGCTTGTGCATTCAAGAGAAGTAAACCTGGTCCTCGTGCCGCGGACTACAGAATAGAAGAGAGAATTTAGAGATGGTAGTTGTTTTACAGGATTGATATGGTTACTGCATTATAATAGAAGCTTTGATGGTGTGCAATTGTACAAAAGCAAACAGTAAGTGGCTGTACAGAAATGGGTCGTTCTTCGTTACCCAATATTCAACAGTTTGGTTTATTTCATTTTCTGAAAATAACAAGAAGCAAATGTAAAACAAAACCATGAACGTCTGAAATTTCAGATTTTCATGGAGTTTAGGTATCTTCTTAAATATTTAAAATTCGATGTTATTATCAAACTTCATAGATATAAGGAAACTAACAATTTTTGCTGTTTTTGTCTCTAAATCTCTTTCGAAACGTGGAGACTCTAGGCTCTTAATACCTAAAACCTTGAAAAATCTGGAATCTGAACTGTTACATCAACAGTTAAATCACTTCAGCATTCTCTCATTTCTCATTTCCACTATCCAATATGACTAGCTCTACCCGCACTGCCGCCGATCTTCGTCTTCTTCTTGGCACCGTTACAGCTGAATACATATGTCTGAGGTGATCCATTTTTCCGGTTCTAGAGTTGTTCACATGGTCGGCGGCTTTGCTGGTTTATATATGGAGTGCATGCTGCGTCTGAGCTAAGATTAGATATTGACAGTGGCCGGAATATTAAATCTTTTAAGAAAAATAGAATGAATTATTAGTATTTAAAATTAAAATTCATAAGATAATATCTAATTTGTCTAATATTTAAACTTACACTAACTTAAATTATTATTGGACCAAAAAAATCGAAAACATTAGATTATTCGTCTTTAATTGGGCTCCTACTTAATTAAATATTTAGTAAATCCTAATATTTTTTAATTTGGATACTTATTTTTAAATGAACTAAAGTATAAATATATTGAAAATAAAAAAAATTATTGGGGCCGGTCGCTCCTGTGGCCCCAACAGAGCTCCACCCCTGGGTGCATGGATTGAAGATCTTTGCATGGGTCGATTCGACAGTTACGGCAATCCCTTGTCTTTACGTGGACATAGTTGTACATTGATCGTACTAGGAAGATTTTTTGTTATGGCTCGGCTGGTATGGTTTCAATGCAGGTTCATTCATCATCATCTTCAAAACTTACGCACAAACCGGTTCTTTCTATGGACAATGGAGCGCTCGGAAGAACCGCCGTAACGACAACGATCGCTGGAATTTCGTCCGCTTTGACAACACTCTTCAACAAACGTTTGCTCACTGGTCATTGGAACGTAACCGCATGGACTGTTCACGGGAGGCGGAGCACGGCTGTTGGCGGTGCATTTGATCCAGATGTTGGTGGTTGTGGGGTGGGTGAGCGCCACCATGGGGGCATTGTTTTTGGTACGGCATACGCTGGGTCTTTTGAGGATATCGGTGGACGAGGAGATGGCCGGAATCGATGTGACTAGCCATGGAGGATTGGCCTATGAATTTCATGAAGATAATGATAAAACAACGAAAGGTTCTTTTATGATGACAATATAGATACCACTAGTGTGTTCGATTCGTAGTAAGCTTATAATTGAGAATTGTCACAATGTTAATCAGTTTTCTGTTAAATTATGTGAAACCATTTGTAAATTAATATGTTGGTCTGTAGTCTCCCCTACTAGGAAGCTTATAATTGATAATTGAGGCATGGAAAAAACGTGTACTGCGATCACTAGGAGTGATTAAATCTAAAAACGTAGATGTTTAATTTATTTATTTTTTATCTTAAGATAATTTGAATAAGATATTTTAAAAAACTGAATAATCAGAATCGTTTAAATTTTAATTTTGAATTATTCAAAAATTTGAATAGTAAATAATGATAAACTTTGTCGAATAAGAATTAAGATGTTTAACTATTTATTGTGTGCAAAATATATATATTAAATATAAAAATTTTGTCAAACTAAATTTGATGTTGAGATTCGGATATCTGAATATCCGATAAAAAAAGTTAAATATTCAATTTTTTGGGACCGGATACTAATCATAACTTCAATAATCAGTATTTTTGAATATCCAAAATTTCGGATATGATAATATTTGTTATCTAAAATACACACTCTTAACAATAACTAAATATGTATTTTAAATAAAATTACATATTTAACCCTCTTAAGAGTTAATTATTCAAATTAAGACATTTTAAAACAAATTTCATTACATAATTTTTATTATTATTTTAATCGCTGTACCCTATCAAAATATCCAGTTTTCATGCGGCGATTAAGAAAAGGTAGGATTCACGGTGTGAGCAGTCTGACTCCGTCCCTTATGGCGGTGACATTGGCAATGCCTTTTTACTCGTATCATAAATCCAATGGCTACCGTTGCACCTCTTATCAATCATGTTAATCCCACCCGTTATTTGAACTCTCCCATTAAAGTAAACCAAACCTCTTTTCATTACACGTCCATGGCGGCTACTTTACGCGTTTGAAAGTGAGCTTCTCACAACCTTGCAAGAACATGCTTTTTAAGTGTTGACTTCTCTTTTGAGGTTGCAATTTAAAAGGTTATCTATATCATAACAAAGTTTGCAAAAACGATAATATTTTAGATTAAAAATTACAGGTATCGAAATTTATATAAAAAAATATGATAATTATATAATATTTTAAGTTGTAATTAAAAATATTATCAATATATAATATTTTAGGTTGATAATGAATATCTAATAGAATCAATCGCCTTTTTTAAATATATTTTAGACATCACACAACATACTCATCCTTCTTAGAAGGTAGTGTTTAAATAATTTTAATATATTTAACATTTCAATATACTTTTAATATTTAGATTATATATCTTTCTTTTCAACGTAATTACAAAAAATTAATCATGCTAGATTAAAGTTAGCGGGCTATTTTTTAAAGGTAAAAGGGTCAATTTTCTTACTGTAGTAGATTCAATTTATCACTTTCGTCCTTATCGTATTTTCGCATCAATTTAACACTCGAAGTTGCTCAATTGCATCGATCTATACCCTAACCCTAACTTAAAACCCAAATTATAAACCCTAAACTATAATCCAAATACCTCTAAAATCCTAAACCCTAAATATTAACTTATAATTTATAATTTAGGGTTTTAACTTAGAGGAAATATATAGAATTATGCAATTAATGCGAAAAATACGATAGGGGTGAAATGATAAATTGAGTTTACGATAAGGACAAAGGTGACCTTTAAGCATTTTTTAAAATATTATGAGGTAATTATAAGATACTATATAGTTATATTCTTTTTTAATCCTTGATAATATATATATATATATATACACATTATATATATATATATATATAAATTTAAATTTTAACAAAAAACAATACATTTTCTTAAATATTGAGGACACTTGATGGAAATACAATGTTATGTATTAAATAAATTCAAAAAATAAAAAGTAGAGACGATAACACCGTCCAGCCCTCCTTAACAATAATTAACGGCTTGATCTTCGGGCGCGTGGCCCCACACGAGTTTTTGACAGATTTCCAATTAAAAAAAGGGTCATGTAAGCGTTGCGATTGGCCACTTATTTCTCTTGCCAGTTGTAACATTATTTTGTTCCTTTAGTTTTTGTTGCCCGCGAATTGTCCGTGGCTTCTCTCTCGCTTCTAATTAAGCAATTGATATACAATTATTTAATTAACCTAAAACAATTGGAAATAAAATAAAATGTAGAAAATGTCGTAAATGTCCATGAAATGCCACGAGAGCAAACATCGCCAAATGGAGAAAAACCTTCCGCAAAGTATCCTCACCCTTCCTTTCATCATAGAAAGTAATTTAGATAAAAGGTTTAGTGATATATTCACTCTCAAATGCTTTTAATTTAATATATGAAGAAAATATAATAGAAAAAACAAGGGTTTACTCTCTTAATTATTTAGGGTTTTAGAATCAGCATCAATTGTAATTTAAGATAGATATTACTATTGTGTTATAAATATTTTCAAAATTTAAGTTTATCTGACGGTCAAATGATTTTCATGTTAAAGAATTATAATAGAAAAAACAAGGGTTTACTCTCTTAATTATTTAGGGTTTTAGAATCAGCATCAATTGTAATTTAAGATAGATATTACTATTGTGTTATAAATATTTTCAAAATTTAAGTTTATCTGACGGTCAAATGATTTTCATGTTAAAAGAATTTAAGTTTGATCTTTATGAAATGTAATCTAACTACTAAAGCTATGTGTAAGAAGCGAGTCGGTCTGAATTAATCAAGCTGAAGTCTTAAAATCGGAAGAACAAGAAAAAAATAATTACTTCAAATTGATATTATTTTGATGTGATGTCTACGTCAACAATCTCATTATTATATCGGTAATGATTTAATGATCTTTTGATATAATTGAAATAGAAATTAAAGTTTATAAGTTATTCAAGTTTCCATTAATTTATAAAAAAAATATTTTTAATACGTAAAAATATAATATATTTAAATCCGAAAACTATATACAATACACATGTTTTATGGCCTTGTCATTTTTTTCCAATTTTTCATTCACACAATTAATTGTAATATATATGCCTGTACGGTATTTTAATTTAAGTTGTTAACATTTATTATTTGATATGTAATTGGAAATAAATTTGACAGG